GTTGCATTTATTGATGCTCTTCACACACAAATAAGACAAGGGAGGGAGAGAGAGGATTTGCAAAATTCACTTTCCTATCATTTGTTTTCATCTTAATTCTCTATAACCTCGATCCTACCCATATTATTTGATTGACTTCCTGGAAGTTTACCAGTAACTTCCTATCACCTGTAGTGGAAAGCTGAATTTTATATCATGCAATGTCTGTTCCTGGCATCGTTGCCTTGATTTCCTTTGGGATCATCATTTCTCCTCCTCTCAGTTCATGTGATTTACATTGGTTGACCTTACCCTTAGCATGGAGGGTAGGCATGTAATCTAAAACCAAGTAACTCAACACAGGCTATGATGATAGGATTTGGGATTGTCTTGGGTCCTCATTGGAGCCAATCAGAATTAATACTGGAAGTAAAACTGGAGGTAATTTATAACACCAAGCTCCCCTTTTTATATGGACTTGGACTTGAATAGATGTAGGCCGAGGCTGTGCTGCCATCTTGTCACAATAAAGGGAAAACCCTTCAGGAACTAGAAGCCAAGAGATAGAAAAAGAAAAATTATGTCTGATTTTATTGACTGAGCTCCTAAATCCAACAAAATCTAATAACAGAACTACCCTTGAACTTTACAGTAATGTGAGTCAATAAATTCTGTTTGCTTCATTCACTTAGGGTCTTGGGGTTGCTGTCATTGGCAACAAAAAGAACAATAACTTATCCATTATCAAAAATTCAGTGGCTAGTATTTGACAAAACTAATTATTCTTTTTTTCCAAATATGCACTATTCCTCTGTCCTCACCCATTTTTGTCTGATCCTTTCTTTAATTCCCTCTAGTTCCTCTTTATATATGGCATTATACTGTAGAATTTCAGAGTTAGAATTATAAGGGGCAAAAAAATTAATATGTACTGAGATCCTTGTGGATGGCACACATTGTACACATAACTACCTGTGAAAAGTCTAGCAGCATTTTTGGAATTGTGTTTGAAACACCAACCACACATACTATTGTTTTAAATGTTATAAAAGAGATGCCATATGAAAAGAATATAGTTGTAAATTTGGACTGCATGCAATGATTTCTATCCTGAATGCAAAGAATTGAATATCAATAAAGCATAAAATGAAGGTTTTCATAACAATAATGTCTCTGATTCTAGACTAAAAAAGAATGGGAGAACTGTGCTATTGCATTTTTGTACTAGCACACTTCCTGAAAAGCAATTAAGTTGCTTTACCACCTCAGTTTATAGAAAGCAAAAGGTTATAAAATACAATAAAACTGTCCATTATTTCTAAAAAGACCTGAAAGTCATTGGACTGTGAGAAATTTGAAATCATATCAGAAAACAGAATTTATGGCCCCATGAGTTATGGAAAAGGAAATTGAATTGTGTGTTTTATTTTTAAAACACAACCACTAAAAAGGTGTTTCCATAGTAACAAGGTCAATACCAGTAGCCATTACAGACCTTCCTTCTTTCTGATAGTGGGTTTGAAGATCTTTTTCAAATACCTCTTTAAAAACCCTCTGAAAAAGTATCTCTTTTCGGACCATTCATCTGAACCAAGAATGAGGAAAAACACACATGGAGTATTGAATTTCTCATGTTTTATGGATCATGAGCATTCATGGCTGTCACATTTCCAGAAAGAAGCCTGCCTGACTAGCAACTACGCCAATCCCTGAACATGGGATTTGATTAGCCTGATTGTAAATCTGGACAAACAGAAGTTATTTGCAGTAGTATTCAAACAGAAATAAAAGGCAGCACAGTATTAAAAAAGCATACTCCTTTAACAACTAAATATTGAAAGAGTTAAGTAAATAATCCCTATTAGAAAAATGTCAAAAGCTCAGATAAAATAAGATATCACCACTAGAGGAAGGTTAGAAAGATACAGGCCTCATTTTGTTTATGGCAGAAATAAATAGCTCTTTGGCCATAAAATCAATTCACTTAGCTCCACCAGGAAGTGGCCTCTCCCTTCTCTTTCCTTTGTGTGGAGATACACTGCCTCCAGGATGGTCATTTATGAGATACTTTATTTTTCTGTGTATTCACAATAGTATCTCACATAACATTTTGTATATAAATGATACTTAAAAAAGAAGTGGAGAATGAATCATGAAAAATAATGACAAAAGAATAACTAAACACCAAATCTCTGGTCTATTTTTAGATGTGATTCATCAGTTAAAAGTGTGCTTTTTTGTTGTTGTTGTTCTTCAGTTGCAGTTTTTCTGCCTTATCCCCCACACTCTCCCCTTCCCCGTCCCACCCCCCTCACTCCCACAGTCAGTCAGTCCTCCCCATTGTCCGTGCCCCTGAGTGCTCTATTTGTGTTCCTCAATTTTAATCTCTTTAAACCAAGGGACTGTGAAACCTTGTTCATAGACTCGTAACTATTAAATAATGAATTGGATTGCTTGATCCCTGGACAGAGTGCCTCAGAATCTCTGCAGGTGAGGACTTGGTGTCAGTCTTTTTTACAGCTTCTCAGGTAATTCTAATGTGAAGCCAGAATTGAAAAATCCTTGCTTTCAACTGTTTATTGGAGCTCAATTAATGAATAATTTATTTACCTCCAACTTTTAAGTCCTTGTTTTTTCCTCAATATTGCCTCATAGTGCTATACTAAATCTATAAGATCTTTTATTATAACCTAATGATTTATTCTCTAGAATCACTTTTCATTATAAAAACTTTTATATAAACTTCATTAAATCACTTTTCATTATTAAAAGGGTTGTCATGAGCAATTAAATTTTTTACCCAAAAATTATTTATTGAATTCTGTTTAATATAGTTATTAGCTTTTTGTTGCTGTGCATTCAACTTTTGAAAATCACAACTCAATACAGTATCAACATAATAGGTGCTAAGTAAATGTCAGAAGCTTTAATACTTGCCTTTGGGTTTTTATGCTTGCCTTACCTGAGCCTGCAATGCCTTATCTTTGCAGGCATCCTAATGCCTTTACACGCTTATCTATCTGCAAACGTTCAAATTCATCCTTCAAAACACGCAGATCATGTTTCTCTTCCTCCAGGAAGCCCTCTCTGATTCAGACAGACTACTAAGCACTCTCTTCTTTGGCACTGCCACTGCCCCAGGCTTATGCTTCAATTTTGTATTCCTCATACTATACTGTCATTTCTTTTTCTTTCATAAGTCCCTTCTCCATACCTGCTTGTGAACAACTTGCAGCAGGTGCTGACTTACATAAGCCTTTCTGCTTTTTTTCTCCCAGCACACACCAAAATAGCTAGAAACAATGGGCATTCTGAGTTTACTCAACGGAAGAATAAATGGTCACATTGAAGTGAACTAGTGCATTTCAAAAAAAGCTATTTGTAATGGACTGAACTGCGCCCCTCAGCAAAATCCGTAAGTTGAAGTGCTGCCATCCCAACCTAACGCCCCCCACCCTGCCCCACTTCCCCACCCCTGCAATTGAATGGTGTGTGGAGATGGGAACTTTGGGAGATAATTAGGTTTAGATTAGGTCATGGGGTTTGGGCACTCTTGATGGCATTAGTGCCCTTATGAGAGTAGACACCAGAGAGTTTACTGTCTCTCTCACTTTCTGTCACGTGAAGACATCGAATGAAGACCAGGAAGAAATTTTCACCAGAATCTGACCATGACATGAGCTTCCAGAACTATGAGAAAATAAATTTCTGTTGTTTAAACCACCCCCATATAGCAATTTGTTCTAGAAACCCAAGATGATTAATAAAACTATGAACAGGGATTAAGTTGTTTAAAGAGAACATTAATATAAACATTATAGTTTTAATTTACATTTTTAGCTTTTATTTATATATATTTTTAAAAATTAACTGTTTGTTTTTATAAAGAAAAGGCCATATCAAATGCAGTTAGACTAGATATTTCATATTTTCTTCCAAATAAATTCAAGGCAAAATTTTTGGTATTTTTCTGGTAAACTAAGAAGACTACCATAGTTAAAAATAAAATGATTTTGCCAAATAGCAGTTAATCAATAGAAAAAAGTAAAGTACCTTAGGGACCACATTATTAATTATAGCTATTCACAAGGTTTCCTTTTTATTTTTTTCTCACAGATAACATTAATTGAAGAACCAGCCTGTCTCCTGCACTGCCCTAAGCATTATGTCTTAAATTAATTTTATTTTGTCTTATTTGGGATAGAGAAAATATTTAAAGTCTCTTGGAAACTCCCTGATGTTTTATTTATTTATTTATTTATTTATTCAACAAATATTTATTGTGCAGAATGGGAATCTAATTTTGCATTTAAGGCCAATTTACTTAGTTTCATTCTAGCATTCTCTGGGGATGATGGATCTAAACTACTCAGTCTTTATCTGGTGAATTTATCCTCTAATCAAATAACAAAAACTGTGCAGTTTTTAGATCAGCAGTACTGAACGCACACTTTGAATTTCATGGATGGGTTAAGTAAAATTTGGGAAACAAATACTTAATTACCAACATTATACTTGGCCAACTAATAACATTAACAACAAATAAATACCACTATCATCTATCACCACAAGTTTGCAAATGACAAAGCATTTTAACACAAAATAATTAAAGACTATAATTTTAGTAGAGAATAAAGGGTGGCTTTCAATGTGACTACATTTCATTCAATGGCAAAAAGCACCCAAAATATTCTTTATTCACCTAATTTCATCCTTGATTGGTGAAACTTTGTTACGAACAGATCTCTCTTTGGGGTAGAAACAGAAATTTCTGCTATCTACTACTTTTTCTCCTGAGTGTTCTACTTAGATCCTATTTCTCACTGTTCTCACTGGCCAGCAGAGTCCAAGGTAAACATGCCTGTCTATTGAAATGTAAATCTTTCTTTCATTTTGTCAGATACTAAATAAAAATGATGCTTCGGGTACCATGATTACTTTACATTTCAGAATTTATGTCAAATAAATATCTATGTGAAAGTTATAAATCAAAGACCAACCAATATAGCAACAAAACTTACATGTATGGACCCAGTGAGATGACCCTTGCTGTTACAATCCCAAGAATCAGAGTTGTTAAAACTGTAGAAATAAGAGAAATCTGCAAAAGAAAATGTAAAGATATTGTCAATTTAGTACAGAGTGGGGATTTTCAACCAGTGTTCCGTGGCAGGCAAGAGTTTTTAAAATATACGATACTGACTACTTAGTCAGAGGCGCTGACCTCTTTTCCCTTAGACTGCCAAATAAAAAACCACAACAACCAACACAACAACAGCTGTCCAGTGTGAATGAATTAAAATTATACCTATTTTTGTGAAATTGGCAAAAAATACATTTTTTGATGTGCCACAGAATTTCAGTAATTAGTTTATCTATGCCATGAGATGAATAAGGTTGAAAATTGCTGCTACAGAGATTATTTTATTGAAAATAATAGGTGTTTCTCTTTTTACCTAAGTAAACATATGCACAGTTTCAATTATTTATTTAGTCGTTTATTCTTACAGATTGGGTTGATAATCTCAAGTATGTAATTTTTATCAGACTACGGTCTTAGTTTTTTTCCCTTTAAATAGGAGAAGAAGTACCATATATGACTATTGTAATCTTGTATCATGGCTTTAGATGTTTTTAGTGGCTTCCTGTGGAGAATGTAGAACTGGTGATTTTTAAATGAAAGTGTGTTTATTTTTCTTCAGGCGCTATTTTAATGTTGACTTGTGCATTTATCCTATCTATAGTTGCTCCATCTGCTTCTGTCTTTATTTTACCTTCACCCTTCCAACACAACAACACCCCCACATTTGGGGAGTGAGTGTCCTGCTATTTTCTTTTTGTTCTCTAGCTCTATTAGTCTTTTTTCCTTTGTGATCTTGCTGTTTTGTCTGTGTTTCTCAGTCTGTTTCTTCCTCTCTCTCCCATCATTACTTCAACTGGTTAAAATATAAACTGGTCTGTGTGTGTATGTGTTCTATGCACTCATTACACTAGATGTATGTTTTGTCTCTTAATTTTTAATGGATAACACATTTTATACTTTTTTCTCTGCTAAGATTATAAAATACAGAATTAATTTTATTTCACTTAATGGTCATTAACCTTGTTTTCTTTTGTTAGTTTTTAACTAGAAAGTTCTATTACGAGTCCTCTGATCTACTGAGGAACAGAAATATTAAGTAATATTCGCAAGGTCACATAGCAAGAAAGTAGCAAAGGAAGAACTCAAATGCAAGTATCCTGACTCCAGATCAGGGCTCCTCACTACAATGCTTTGCTAATTAGGAAATTTATTTAGGTATTTCAATATGACACATTAAAGGGACATTTAGGGGAAAATGTTTAGATAATGCTAGAATATTAGCAGCTTTCTTTTCCTGAATTCCTTGTCTTCTGTTCTGTGAAGGTAACATTTATGTCTACACTGAACATGTGAATGGAGGACAGTCCAACCATTTCAGAATATTTCACTATAAAAGCCCCTTTGATGCACTCTTGGTTATTTCTGGATGACTGTTAAAAAAGGAAGGAGAATAGTCAGAATACTCTGAAATATAATCTGTATTCTCAGCTCTACCTGAAAAGAGAGACTTCTTAAATGTAGTCACACATCAAATATCATAGCAGAAAGTAAAATTCAATCAATTGTTGGATTTTTCAAAATGGAATATAAAATATTATATGCATAATTCTTTTAAAAATTTTCTCATGAGAATGCTTGGCATCATGTCGATAGATATAACACCAATAATATTTTGGGTAAAATGCAAACATTCCTCGATAGTGAAGAAATACAATGCAACCAGGTAGAGGCCACTCTATGCTGATGGGCGTATGTAGTGAGTTAAATAATTATTTGGTTGGTTGCATTAGAAAGAAATAAGCATTTATTTTTAGCAATACAAATTATAAACACTGGCCAGATTCTCAACAATTATTAATCAAAACACTGACATGTGAATGTGATGGATGAAAAATAGGCACAACAGATATTGTAATTTACAAAGAAAATTTTAAGCCAATAAAATGATTCATCCTTGTTTCTAAAGTTAGTTTGCTTTTAAATTGTTTAACCTACTTTCTATAAAAACAATAGAACCTTTTTTTAGTAGATTAAACTCGGTATAATTCTTTATATTTTCTAAATGTAAAGTGGCTGCCTGACATCACTTAGAGTACCTACCTTAAAAAGAATAAGAGAAAAGGACATATTTAGTTCACACTCATTATTTAAACCTCCATTCCCAACAGTAAGCTAAAGATTCAACCATAGTTTACTCTATCATCATCATAATTAAACTAAAAGAAACTAAAGAAAATTGCTGTAATTAAGAACTTGGTCATAGAAACAGTAGTTGGACAAAATTAATGCAGGTAAGAAAATACATTTCTGTGCCTACTTAAATGTAAAACTTACCTTTCCAAGCTTTGCTATGTCTCGGTACAAGGACAAAGGCAGAGTAAAGACAACTGTGGAAAACACAATAATGAAGTGGCGACCAATAAGCAAGTTTTCAGGGTCAACTAAAACACAATCAATATTATGAAGTGTTAATAGAGATGAGTAGCTCACCAGTGACACAGTAAATATTGAATTAGCAAAATAACTAAAATATTAAATAATATAAAAAGGACAAATTTTTAAGAGTAAATATGCTCCATAAAACCATGTACAACTAAGCCCTGGCTGGCATAGCTCAGTGGGTTGAGCGCGGGCTGCAAACCAAAGTGTCGCAGGTTCGATTCCCAGCCAGGGTACATGCCTGGGTTGCAGGCCATAACCCCCAGTAACCACACATTGACGTTTCTCTCTCTCTCTCTCTCTCTCTCTCTCTCTCTCTCTCTCTCTCTCCCTCTCTAAAAATAAATAAATAAAATCTTTAAAAAAAAACAAAAAAACCATGTACAACTAGAAATAGTACACAAAAAAAATACAAAATTCTTTATAGATAAACCTATTGTTCAAATGTTAAAATATTTTACATTTAAATGATTTTAATGGCCTCCTAATCAGTTTCCTTGTTCTACCTTCCTTTGTGCCCTTAGAGTATAGTATACTCTTAACCTAAAAACTATAGAGATCCTTTCCAAAGGCAAAAAAAAAAAAAAAAACCCACAAGACAAAACATATCATTCCTTGTCCAAAACCCTCTAATGGCAAAACCATTCATTGACAAAGTAAGCTATATGGGGGCAGGGCATTTTCTGAGGTTTTAAAACATTTCTGTATTTCAGAGAACTTTAAACAGTAAAACTTTAACAAAATTTCAAAAATAAATATTTAGGTAAAAATATTCACTAAATTTCTATCCTTTTATTGAGAAAGAAATATTTTCCTTGAAGGAAAGTAGAGAGAAGCAATTTGTTGAACAGAGAAGTCAGAGGTAAGCTGCTGAAACCTGGGACACAATGTCTTAGACTCCTGGCTCTCATAACTAACTAGGAAACAACAAAGAGAGACAGAGAGAGGCTATCATCAAGTACAAAAAAAATAAGCATAAGTTAAAGCACACAAGGATTTATATATATTTTAAAGCTGAGCTAATCACAGTATTGGCTTTAAGAGATCTGTACCTATTCCAATGAAGACACTATTGTTTAAACTTTTTAGTCTATATCAAATTCCTTCAGAGATCATATAGTTACATATTTGAAAGATTCTAGTGGTACCCAGTCTTTGTGCATTTAATCCTTTGAAGTTTTAAGTCTGTAGAAACCAAGTCTCAATCAACTGAGTGTGATTCAAAAAAATAAAAAAGAAGCTATTGCTCTGAAAAGTGAAATTAATTTTCTTATATGGTTAATAAACTAACCGAAAAGAAAGTGCTGTGATGGGAATTTCAAAATGGCATAATTTTTTACACACACACATGTATACACAAGAATGGAATAATCAATCATGAGTATTTAACTCAACCAAAACTAAACAATCATCCTAAAGTTGTGAATTAAAATAATAAAACAGGAAATTTAAGTTCCCCAAACCCTGAATGTAACTATTTACATATTCCTGGTAAACATGATTTGAATTAAATAATCTCTACATCTATGTCTATTTACCCCTTCAAACTCCCCCTTATGATATATTTGGTAGAAAATATATTTTCTTCAGTGGGAAAATTCTAAGGCCTAGAAAAACTCTAAAATAAATTGCTATGAATAGCGTATAGGAGCTTGATAACTGAAGATCTCCATTTGTGTAAAGGGTATTTTTCACTAATGATCCAATGATAAGACCTATCACCTCTACAGATCTTCTAACAAAAATGCACCCAAATAAGCATTATAAATGTTTAAACAATAGTAGGGAAAACTGAATATTGAAATATTTCAAAAATATCAAAATCATATAAACATACTATTTCTTATACTGATGTTTTTCATTACTTTGATTTGTACCATGAACTAATACTTAAGTTATCTGGGAGAAGTATAAGAAATTTCCCACTTGTCAGCCTAAGACACTGATGATATCTTTCAGGGAAAAAAATGCAGGTTTACTAAGGATTATATCTACTTCTAAAAATACTTTGGCATAATATTAATCTTTACAAGATATACAAATAATCATACATCATAAAATATAATATGCAACAATTAAAGAAATTGTGATAAGAATAAAAGTGTGTTCTTTGGTATGTGATCCATATTTTAAAAGTCACTTTTGATGATCATAAAATTAATAACCAGGAAGGGGGTTTCAAAAGGAACTTTAGCCTTATCTGTGATAAATTATTTTTATGAAGAGCATAGATTTATATATATTTATAAAACTAAAAATCAAAAAATAATAATCAAAGTGTTCTATTAGGGAAAATTAAAATAATTAAATTAAATTAAAATTAAAATGACTGCACAATAGATACTGGAGAATATTAAACTGCCAATTAAGCAACTAGAATAGATCTCTATGTTTTGCTACGAGTATGTGTCTTAATATACTGCTAAGAAAAAAAAGCATATTATAGAACAAGATGTATAGTGTTATGTTATTCATATGACAATTTAAAGTTACATGCATTCTTAAAACTCTCATAGTATACATTAAAAAGGAAGGAAGGAAGGAAGGAAGGAAGGAAGGAAGGAAGGAAGGAAAGAAAGAAGGAAGGGAGGGAACGTTGGAAGGATTGTTCCTACTTGGTTTTCCGGAGAGGGAAAGATTATGAGTATGTTCTACATTCTTTATTTTGCTTATCTGCTTTTTAATATTTTCCTAATAAATGTGTGTTACCTCTTAGATATGAAAATAAAATGATAAAAATTAAAAATTAATACATGTTCCTTTGAAAAACTTTGGAAAATAACAAAGGAAACAAAATCCCATGGGTCCCACAATTAAAAGATAACCACAATTTATATTGAATGTATTTTAAAAGTTTTCCTTATTTATTTATGCAAAGAGAAAATTTATAATTTAGATCATATTGTATATATGGTATTATATTCTTCCCTTTTTTACACAACATTCTACCCACTCACATGACCTAAGTTTATGAAATTAAGATTTGAAGGTTGAGGACTAGAACAGAATCTGCAATAATTCACAGTAACAATAATAATAGCTAACAATGTTAGGAAAACCTACTATATGCTAGGCACTGTCCATATTATCTCTCTTGTTTTGCATAAAAATGATATGAAGCAGTTGATACTCTAATTCATAAGTTAGAGATGAATAGACTAGAACTCAGAGAGGGTGTTAACTTTCTCAAGGTCACATAGCAAGCAAGCATTGGTTTTGTGACTTGATGGTCAAGTAGTCCTGATTTTAGCTAACCAGTGAGAGGAAGAGGTGCAATTTCCAGTGCTATGTTTTGCTTTCCTTTGTTTTGTAAGTCTTTTAGAATGAGTGAATCAAGCACTAAGAGTACAGGCATGTTTGTATCAATTTCAACTGTAATAACGACTATAGAGTCAGGTCACAATAAAATGGAGATTATGTGGGTTGGATGAGAAGCTCTTTGAAGCACAAAGGCTGCATGATGCAAATGGCCATGATATGAGGAAGGGTTGAAAGGGGAGGGGGCTGTGCACATGTTAATAAAAAGGTCTGATTGAGAATATTCATAGCTTCTCTTTCATAATCACCCCAAACTGGGGACAACCCAAATGTCCCTCAACTGTGTGACAGATAAACTGTTGTCCAGTCCAATCATGCAATGGGACATTCCCCAGCAATTGTTTCTTTTTTTTTTAAGAGCAAACTACTGCATACCCAAAGTCATAGCTGCAATTCAAATGCACTGTGCTAAGTGAAAGAAGCCAGACTAGAAGGGCCAGATATATATAATGCCATTGATTTGGCATTCTGGGAAAGAAAAACTAGGCAGAGAAATTAGATCAATGGCTGCCAGGGGCCAGAAATGAGGGAGGGTTTGTCTGTAAAGGGGAATAGGGACAATCTGGATATTATGGAATTATTCTGTATTTTTACTCTGGCTGTGGCTGTATTTTTACTGTGTGCACATACAATGACTATGTACATTGTCAAAACTCACAAGACTATGCATCAGTTAAAGTTACATATTAATAGAATAGTGGAGGAAAAGATCAGCTTGCTCATCTAAGAAATGGTATAGTAAAAGTAGTACATGAGAAAATGTTACTACCAGAGTTGGTGATACATAGCATAAGATATTTCAAATATATTTTCTAAGTTGAGTAATAATATTTATTATGATAGTATTATCAATAACTCTTACTATTATTTATTATAATAATATTATTAATAACTTACTATTATACTAAGTACAGTATAATAGTAATAATATTACTAAGTATAGTGATAATACTAATCATATTTTTAAACAGCTAAATAAGATTTAAACTATATATAAGGGATTAATATTTTAGGATCAGCATGAATCCTAGATATTGCCAGATATTTGAAATCATCCAACTCTTGAACTTGCAAATATTTTACTTATAAATTATTATAAAACACATTAACTATGAGAAACTATATAAAATAAATATATTTACTTACCTCCTGGGATTCTTTGGAAAACTTTGCTCAAAGTGTCTCCAGTTATTATGTTGTAACTTATCATAGCTAAATACATAATTAAAATCATACAGTCACCAACAAGATTTTTATCTTGAATATTTTGAAAATAATCAGTTACTACTTCCCAAATATTGGCATAATCTTACTACTTTTAAATATATATTTTGGTTACCCCTATGTACAACTTTAAAAATAACTAGACAACAGATTTATGAGATAATATTAATTTGTATGAAAAAATATTTTCACTTTACAAATTGATTCTTTCCACATATATTTAAATAATAATGAGGTTTGGTAGTCATTTAAAATGTGATTTATTTTTCATTAAAGTTCAGTTTCTAAACACTTTTAAGGAATGCATGTATTGTTCAATGTGAGGAATAACAACAGAATATTATGAAGGTGCCAAAATATCTCTGCATTTAAAAAATAAGATTTTGGGGAATACATTCTTAGTTTTTGGTGGAGACATAAGAACCTAGTGATTTAAGCAATAACTTCTGTATTACTGGTTTAAAAAAGGAAGTCAATTTGTCCATTGTTGATCTTAACATTTTATTTATTTAAGAAGTGCTAGGTGACATCTTCATCATTATAGTACAAACTTTAAATAGCATGTTGGCTTTGCACATGGCTTCCACAAATGTATTTCAAAATATTTTTTAAAAATGTATTTCAGCCTTGAAGGGATCTACTGTTTCTCTCACTCACTTTTATTCCCAGATCATTCTATCTTTCACCAAACTAGGGAAGAACAAACATTAGACTAATAAAAATCACTTTCACTTTATTTCAGTAAAATACTCAGAAGACCAACCAAAAGGACCAGGGAATAAGACAAAGATGACTAAAGAAGCAAACACTTAATTTGGAATATATTTCAACTATTGGTACTCTTTAACAACTATGCAATGACTATTAAAACTCTTATATTTAGAAATAACAGTATGTTTTTGTAAATAAGTATAGTTTGCATCTTCACATTGATCTTACCTATAAATGGATACAAAAACTGTAGAACAGAGAGGAGAAGATACCCTGGAAAGCCAAAGGTTTTATTGACCAAAGACTGATAAGTGTCCGTTCCAGAGAGAGCCCCTCCTTTTATCAGTAAAACAAGGGAAAAGTCTATGGCAAAAATAACAATTAAATAAATGTTAGATTACATTAAATACAAAGGTTTTTCATGTTTTGACTCACATAAAAAGGGAACATTTTTTAAAAAAAATAGGTTAATTTAATGTGACAGTAAATCAACATGGCAAGGCTTACTTCCTTCCCATAAAATATTACTTTTTGTGAAATGGTACTATTCCCAATTATTTATTTTTCAACCAAGATGCAAGTATACTTAACACATCCATGAGATGAACTGGGCAGAAGAAAATACGCAGAGTACAGTTAAGCGTCAGTATTTCATTTTACGTCTCAAGCTAGCCAATGCAATGACCATTAACAGGATGTGGCTCAACAGCCAAGCCACACATTGTAGGTGATCAGATATTTCATATGCATTCACCACGTGAAGACAAAAAAGGAAAAATGCTCTAAGCATGTATAAAAACAGATTTAGGAGACTCAGATCATTTGTTTTATAACAAAGTACAATTAGTAACCTTATTTTATCATTATGGTAACAATGCCATAGTTAAAAACTATGGTTATTTTAAACTATTTTATAACTATTTTCATAGTAATTTTTAACTAGAGTTGAGGGAGCACTGTAAAAATTTTTTAGTTCACATTTTAGAGATTTAAGTTTCAATTTGAAGTTGAAATTGAAGATATAATTACATAGATATTATTAATTAAAAATTAATATTTTTCTTTTTTCCTTCATTTAACGCAATGAACCTAGTGAATGACGTAACCTACTGAATGACAATGCAGTTTTATTAGGTACACAGCTATGTACAAGGTGTGATTCTTGCACTCTTTTCTGTTGCTCGTGTTTTCACCACAGGTGATTTTGTTATTTTTTGTCCTTTAAATAATTTGGAAATGTGTTAAAAGACAAAGATGAAAATACAAATAATTCTAGTATGATTTCCACCCTGAATCCCTCTCACACCATGGAAACTTCTTTAAGGTTCTTCAATAAACTCCAAGTTGATAAATCCAATTCATATGCCCTGAATCTTAATCTTATTTGCTCTTTCAGTGACAATTTTTTCCTGTTCACCATTCCCCTCTTTTTCAACCTTCCTCCTGTGGCCTTTGCTACATCACTTTCTCTTGGAACTCCTCCTACTATTTTTGGCCATTGGTGCTCAGTTTTATATGAGTTTTCTTTTATTCTGGATTCTTAGACTTTTTTTCACTCTTCAAGATGGCTTACTGTGATCTCATTCATGTGCATGGTTTCAATTTTCCTATAGATGTTAGTAACACCCAAATCTATATCTCTAGCCCAGACTCCAAAACTCCAGATATCTATATCTAGCTGCCTTGTACACATTTCACATTGGAGACCTCATAGACATCTCAGTTTTAAAATATCCACATTCTAGTTTATATATTTGTTCTGGAACCTGCTTCTTCATCCATATTTCTCTGATCAGTGAATAGTATCAACAGAAAATTGATACTTTGAGAATCATGTAGGCTTCTCATTATTCATCATCTTCTATATTCCTTTGGTCACCAAATCCATTACTGCATCATAAATTATTCTACTGTATCCCCTCATTTCTAACCCCTAGCTTGCTTTATTTTAGGGCTTAGGTCTTTATCACATACCATCTGGATTATGGCAATAACCTCCAAATAGTTTTCTCATTCACCAATCTCACCCTCTACCAAAACATTTTTGACATCTACTAAGATTTTTTCAAGATTTCCCCTTGGATGGGGAAATCATAAATCTTATTAGATTTATGTGCTCTGCTTAAAATATTCTAAGGGCTCCTCTAATGCCTTCTTATAAAAATCAACTCCTTTTCAGGAGGCAGAAAACATTATGTATTAGGTGTGTGACCTTGAGTGGAGGACTTGACCTTTCTGGATTATTATATTACAAACACGAAAATACTATCAAATATTGGCCCAGCACTTCCTGCATGCCAGGCCCTTTAAAAAATTCTTTACATATATTAACTTGATTATCCTTTACAACAATTCTAGGTACCCCTCATTTAATAAATGAGAAAAATGAGGCACAGAAGGTTAAGCAAATTGACAGACTTCACAGAGCCAGCATTGGAGCAGTCATGATTTGGACCCTGGCAGTCTGGCCCTAGAATCCATGAACTTAATCAAAATCTCAACTCTGCTGGAAGTAGCTGTAGACCTTGGGCATGTCATTTGAATCCATTAAGTTTCAGTTTCCTCCTCCATAAAAGTAGAAAGGGCATACCTATTTCATGGAGTCAGAAGGATTAAGTATAGTGGTGGCTTTATGCTCAACATCTAGGCAGTCCTCAGGGAATTTTGGTAATGATAGAGCCATTCATGGGAACCTTCATAAGTGTGTCTCCAGACCTTTCTACCAGCATGTCCCTCTACTTACGTACAAACATCAACCCTACACTTTAACCAGACTGAGTAATTACACAGTTCCCTTTTGTATTTCTACATTTCCACCTGCTTAAAGTAACCTTCCATTTTCTTCACTCACTCACATATTTTCATAAACACTTAGTGGAAGTATCTGCTTCTTTCCAAAACATGTATGCTCCTTTGAGGTTGTGTTAAATGACTATGTTCCTATGATTATGTACCTATTTTTGTTATGGTCTTTTTAATGAAGTATTGTCACTATTTATTTTTGTTTGCCTGACACTGTGCAGTGAGCTGCATACAGGCAGGAATAATGCTCTTCATTGCTACAATGGCAGCAGTGTCAGTAAATATTGTTGATATCAATCAGTGATCAATATAGAGCAGGATTCAAATTTAATTTGATAAATGACCAATAAATATATTTTAAAATATTCTGCAAGCACATAGGGCATAGCAATTAATTCTACTTCCTTTTTTTAAAATTATGAAAAGTTTCACAGAAAAGCTAAGTAGTGCCTCGAAGGATGAATAAGATTTCACCAGGTAGAGAAAAAAAGAGAAAAAGTGTCAAGCAGGGGTCTGTCCGTGGGAAAGGCAGTGTGAAAGCATATTCTGTATGTGAGAGATGCCATAGTCCAAAATAGCTAAAACATAAGGTTCACACATAGCACTGTTGGTGACAGGCTGAAAGAGAGGTTTGAGTAGTTGGAGATGAGACTGAAAATTCAGACTGTGACTACACTATGAAGGGATTTGAATGCAATAATTTTTTCTGTTGTCATTATAGAGTCTTGCAATGCTTTGATTGGGGGAGTAATAGTGATCAGGCCAAGGTCGGATAAAGATAACTCTTGCAATACAGAGGACTGGTTAGAAAGTGGGCAGATGATAAATGTAGTAAAACAGCAACTTACTCACCAAAGAGAGAATCAATGAAAACCTGACTAACAGAGAGGAGGTACCCAATTTCACAGCTGTTGTAAATTTTTTGGTGAAAAACTGTATGCTTGGAATGAAAACGCTGTTTCATAAAAGTTCAAAATGTATTGCATGAAGTTAAAAATTTGCTAAAAATTTAGTCAATGATAAATGTAAATAATTTAATCTGCTTGTAAAATAAAGGCTATAAATATATTACCTTAAAAGTTTTAGGTATCTCAAATATCAATCACTATAACATTTTGATCTCACTTTAAATATATTATATACCAATTTTAGGTAACCCATCAATGGGTTTATATTGTTCAACACGAAAATTTTCTTTTAAATCATTCTGTATGTTTGGACAATAAAAATTACTTTACTTTAATCAACAAATAAAAAATCTTAAAGCAATTTACACTTTGTTATAAATATTTATAATTCTATTTTTGCTTCTCAACATTTCACAAACATGGAAACAGAACTTGGAAAAAAACACCCATTGAACTGGTCATACCTCATTAGAGGCCTTAGAAAGACAAAAGAGTAACACTAAAGACAAATCATTGTGTAATTACAGTGTCAATTTAAAGAAAATTTTAGTATAATACTCTACTTGCAAATTTTCCTCTTAAAAGCCTATTTAAAAACCAAATGAATCATAGTCTATATACTTTTTTCTTTTGTGTTGTTACCTTTATTTATCAAAGTTATTTAGGATTTTGATCATATAACCAAATTAGTAAGACTAATTTCCAGTGATTAATAGTTTTGCAATATATGACCTTGCAAAGGACTGCTCACAGTAATTGCTGTAGGTTTATATATAATATCAGTTGAGAAAGTTATCATGGCATGATTTATTTTTGTTTAATGTGATTTGGCTTTAGTAAACTGGTCATTCTCCTTAAGTATTGAATTCTTAGGTGATACACATTTTAATTTTTTCCATGTGCGTACATATTTACAATGCACTTAAATAAGCCATGGTTATTATGCCTGGGTGGGAATTAATTATTTGTCAGTGCTGATTGACTGGGAAGCAGGAAATTAAAAAGGACAAAGGTAAATCCTTCAATGGGATTTTTTAGTGTGATAAACGCTCTTGGGAACAGAATACAATTTTCAAAAACCAGCGACTCTAAATAAGCACAAAGCTATAGATCCCACATTACTAAATTACAAATTAAGCTAAAAATTAAGAGCTATAGAAGCTAAAAGCAATTTAAATTTTGGGTGGAGAGAAGAAAGCAAAGGGAAAAGAGCCCAGTGCTTTTGCAGCTATGACTTTTCTATCTTCTACATGCTTTACTCTCTTTCTTCTTCAGCTTGGGAAAAACAACAGTTATAGGCTGGGCTTGGAAGCCTGAGAGTTTATGAGAAATGGCATCTGAGTAGGGTCGCCAGAAGCAGAGTTTAGACAGATTGTTAGGCGAGGGATTAGAGGGAGAGCTCCCAGGGGAAGTGGTATGAGATGATAGGGCAGGAGAAGCACATCAGGAAGGATGGGTCCCAGGCAGAGACCAGCTGTAGCTTAGCCTTGCAGTGGTGGTACTCTGGAGCTCCAACTGCACCATATGTTGGTCCCTCCTGGAGGCAAGGTTTCTGTATCAGTCAGGTATTGGCTAAAGGCTGTTGGAAAATGGCAGCTTGGGGTCATAAGGTGGTACCACTGGAAGGTGGTACCACTGAAGCCCAGGTCAACACTCTGGAGAAGGGGACAGCTAAGGTGTTTTGCATTACCTGGTAAAAACACATCTAGGTGACAACACATAGCAGCCACCCTAGCATCAACCACATCAGGTGGTGTCTTACTGCCTCTCCCACAGTCATCCTAAGGTAGAGGCAAGACCCTGCATTTGTCATGAGGTGAGTGGGAGGGATGGCAAGGCAGGGATAAGGACAAAAGAAAGAGGACCTGATTATGAGCTGTATAGTCTGCACTTAGACTGGCTGTGAATGACCACATTACATGGAAAGTGGAGGCAGAAGAGAAGTAGTATAGAAGCATCATATTGCTGAACTTAAAGACAGTGGCAGGTGGGAAACCTGAGCAGGCATGGGCAAGGTGGGAACACCTGCACAAACAGCTGGAGAAGGTTTGTCACTCATGTGCACCTGCCCATGGTCCCCGTGGGAAAGGAAGTCCTGACAACTGCACTTTCAAAGTATAGCTGTCTTGGCTTTAATCAGCCTTGAAAATGACTTCCTGGACTCTTACCACATTCTTCATAAAATGAAAGGGCACATGAAAAGGATTTAGGCTTGGTAATACAATATATAATGCTTTTCTAATCTTCAGAGGATTAGCAAGAAAAGTAAATTTTCTCAGACATAAATGTCTAAATTGTTTAGGATTCTTCGATCCAATACAATTAGTAAATTCAATGACAGGCTGTGTGTATATGAGTGTGTGTGTGTGCATAAAATAGTACTTGTGCAAATTAAGTTGCAACAATTAGCAATTACATAGTATTTTACCTGTAACATATGAAACCCAGAATAAAAGCAATATTCCAAGAGGAAAGCCAGCTTGCTTCATTGAATAAGGCAATCCTGGAAAAACATAAAATGCCCACCCATCACATTAATAAAATATATAGAAATACAGAAGTTTTTCCCAATTCTTGTATATAATAGGCTAAGTACACTGAGATATTTATATGATGTAATTATAAACAGTGCATATGACTACTAAAATTAAATGTTAGCATATTAATACTTATTTCAGAATAACATGTTATAAGATAAGGACATATACAGAAAGCAAGTTTATGAGGTGATGGAATATGAATAAGATAGCAGAAAATAAAAGATAGGTGCCAGTTCATACAAATTATGTTCACATCAGGGTGAGGGGATCATATGACCCACTCATGGAGGGGAGGGTCAATATGGAGAGTGCTGCCTGGGAAAGCACAGGGGATAAAAGAGCACAGAAGGGTGATGAGACATGAGGACTAAAATGGGCAACCATGTAGGAAAAGGGGAGAAAAATGAGAAGGCAAAAGTAAATTACAAAACTGAAGGGGGTAATATGAAATATTTTCTTATGAATTTTTGGGGGGAAATGAACAATTTTAGATTATAGACATAAAATATTTAAAAATATTTCCATGCAGCATTTTACTCTCTGAAAAATTGGCCCTGGCCAGGCAGCTCAGTTGGTTAGAGCATTGTCCTGATATGCCAAGGTTAAGGGTTTGATCACTGGTCAGGGTACATACAAGAAGCAACCAATGAATGCATGGATAAGTGGAAAGACAAAGTGATGTTTCTCTTTCTTTCTCTCCCGTCTTCTTCTCTTTCTCTAAAAATAAAGAAGAAAATTGGCTGAGCATAATTAAGAGGTACTTTAAATGTTGCTGACATGGATGAACTTAAAGTTTTAAAATCAGGAATTATGTCTGGAATTCTGCCAAAAAGAGCTGCCTGCACCTCTGTGGCACATGGAGGCAAAATTTCAAACAAGTCTTGTACCCTATTTTTTACTACTTTGCTTCAGGTACTTGCACTTGATGTACTATTTGAAGAAAATTATTTATATTTGGAAACAAGTAAAACAAAAGTACACATCACTCAGTTCAGGTAAATATTCAATGATGACTGTGACTAAAATGTCAAAACTTTACAAAAACTAATATTCTCAATGAGTATTACATGATTCTGTTTTGTCCCTACTTTTTCTTAAGTTGGATGTTTTCAAATAACAAAAAAATAGTAAGTGTGGAAAAATAACTACCTTTATAACTATAATGCAGTGTACTTAATTTTGTCCCTGTCTCAAATTCGGAAAATATGAGCTGCTCATTTTTTTCAATTATGATTGGCTCCTTTACTAAAAAAATCACATTCACTTTTTAAAACCAATTTCTATTTATTGATTAAATTATACTTAAAATGAATATAAATTACTATGTTTGTACTTTAAATTTAACACTATATAAATGGGTAAAGTACTATTGTATGAATTTATTTTTTCACAAGTTTGGTATATTTTCACATTAAAATTTTGTACAATATTTCCATATATCTGGAGGTTTTACACCTCTTAGAAGGTCATAGAAAGGTGATTCAAGTAATGATGGACACTTGAGGAGGAGGAAAAAGTAAATTAGGGAACATTGTCAACTGTCCATGCAGCCTGTGAAAAAAAATTTTCAGTGTGTCTTATATGAAGCTCCACCTAACCTAACACATGTGGAGGGTGCTCTCAGTTGTGCGGAGAGTGTAGGTCGCAACCCCATCTTCAGCAGAAAAGGGACTGATGTGCTTGCTGCCTGTTGTTATAGAGGAAGAAATGGAAGGCTCTTATGGAAGACAATTACCAATTTTATCATTTAAGATCTTTAAAAAAATTAATGAACACTAACAATAAGAGTCTTAAATCTGCCCTTTTCACTTAAAATTTTAAAAACAACAAAGCAACACTTACCTATTATACCAGATCCTATAATAGAGTTGACAACATTAAAAACAGCAGCAGACTCACGACAAGTTTTCTCTTTGTGCTTATGTTCAGAAACGAGGAGTTCTTTGTCATCCAGATCGCTCTATTTAAATATATAAAATGGCCAATAATGAATAAAGTTAAACCAATATTTACTAGTTCAAAACCAGAAAAGTGTTAAATATGCAATATAGTAGATGAAAACGATATCAATAATGCCGTAATGATAATAATGGCAATCATGATTATAAAAATGATGAGAATAATAATAGAGTAACAATTACAGGTAGTAACTCAACAGAGTTTTGCAAACAAAACCCATCCTAAAATGTCCTAATTAAAGCTGCACCAAGTACATGGATGCTACGTGGAACCCCAGAGTACAGCATCAGTTAGAGAGACAATGATGTGATTTTGTAGAATTAAAAGGGTTACATTGAAAATTTCCTGGCAAGGGGGGAAAAAAGTCAAATCAAGGCAAAGCTTCTTCCAGAGAACTTTCAGTGGTGCTAACCAGGACCCCCAAGTGAAGGTAAGGCAGCTTCTGTTGCAGGGTGAATGAAGCTTTGAGGGGACTTGGCTTCAGAACCTGCCCCAGTCTCCAGTTTTACCTGTGGCGGGATGACAGGCTGCTGCCCCTGGTAGCCCATGGATGCACCCTGGTCCTCAGCAGGTGGAAGGTTCACTGTCTTAGATACCTTATTCTAGCCACACCTTCCTCATCTGAAACCTCGCAGGGCTGGGTCGGCGTGCAGCAGGAAAGCTGGACCCAGCTGTTGCTCCGGTGCCACTGGCCCCACCCCCGCACCTCGGTGGGCGGCGCAGACTGCAGCTCAGAGCTCTCTTGGCTGCTTCAGCAGGAGAACTTTTCTCCCAGAGACTTGCCCAGCCAAATGCACCTCCCTCCTCCTGCGAAGATGCCACAAGATGTTTCTGATCTGGGCAGCCCTCTCTCCCACTCCCACCCCAGCTCCAGTTGCAAAGTATAGTTTGTTCCGCCCACCGTGCCTGCCCAGATTGCACAGAGTTACGGTGGCCTCAATTTAGCCCATCTCCAAATTAGCTGCTCCTTGGCTGGAGATTGATGCCCAGGTAAGAATGCAGTAGCACTCCCCCACCCCCACGGAGTATCTCTTCTGTGACCTCCTCCTCCCTGCACCTCTTCTATGGCAAAGAGGGCAGATGAAAACGCAAGGCTTTTGTTTTAAATGAAAAAGAAAACCCACAACTTTTCTAGAGTTTTAGCAAACTCGATTACTCAGCATGCTTTGGTCAAATATTACCTGTGACTTTTCGGAAAAGGAGACTTAAAAAGGGGAAAGGAAGATGGATTGATAACAGATTCAATAAGTGACCTTAAAGGAGGGGCGTTGGGGTGTAAGGTGATGGGAAAGGGAAGACACCTAGAGTATCTGAGCTAGAAAGAATCATAAAGGACGTTTTATTCACCCTTTAATCTTACGAATGAGGAGAAAGACCCAGAGAATATTCAATTACAGAAAGATAGAATACATAGAGAACAGTTTCAGGGAGAGTGTGTGTGGTAATGTAACATTGGTACTTACCAAACACATACTTTGCCATGCATAATGAGCGCTTTTGCTCAAATTTTTGAGGGAAAAATAAGGATGCACATCATATGCAGGATTAATGATTACATACCATGGGTATAATAATGGGTATAATAAATCCTGTGCATAATGCACACAAAAACAGGAGTGCACATTACACATTGCAAAATAGGGTACTTTAAGAGCTTCTGGTACATAGACATTTATTTAAAATTATAAAACATTTTAAGAACATGAGAAAGCAAAAGAGAATTATAAAACAGCATATACTCTCCACCATCAAATTAACAAATGTTAACATTTTATCATATTTTCTTCAAATTGCAAAAATAAACATTTACTATCACAATAGAACCCCTTTGCTGGTCCTCCTTTTTTCCCCTTCATCCTGAGTCATCCAGTTCATGAAAGTAGTGTATATCTTTTCCATCCATGCTTTATATTTTAATTCATCATTTATAGCCATAAATGTTTAGCTTTTCACTTATTTTTAGGTTGGAGTGCAGTATTCCAGCTTCTGGTCCCAGCTTCATGTATGCTGGACCAGAAAGTAGAAGTTTTGTTATACACATTTTAATGATATATCTTAAAGACCTTTTTTATAGTTTCAAAAGTATTATTTGTTTAATAGAATTTCAAAAGTGCTATAAGTCTCAATGAGAAAACATGAAGAAGAAAGAATGGGACTGGCGGTACATAGAATCACTGGAAGTTCACCCATGCAGAGATAAACACAGTTAGCGTTTTAGGACCCCATAGTTTACTCAAATGTTTACATTGTGTAATGTTTACATTTACTACAGTGTTTAAGGTAGAGGGTAAATGCATATTACATGCACATAAGCAGTTTTATCGAGTCTGTCCTAGCCCCAGACTGACACTACAGAAGCCAGACTTTCAGAAACATAGAGAGCCTTAATTTGAATTTTTTACAGATTATATAATTTATATAATATGGTATATTATGTTCATGTGGGATTATTACTTTTCTTCATTATTTAGTTACCGTCTAGGCTACCTGACCTCTAATAGCATTTACCTCACTTAGTAATAACCCAGAAGGCTCTCTATTGGCAGAAGTCTGAATTAATAAAGCTCTTCTGACTGCTAACCTGACTCCATTTGGACATTATTAAGGTTCAAATTTGAGAATAGAGATAAAAAATTTCAATCCACATCCCTGGGGAAGTTACTTTTTCCTCAACCTTAGGAATCTGAAGAAGGGTATATTTTGTTTTTGTAAAAATGGAAGCTTGATATTCTCTATGATGTTAGGTTATTGGCTTAGCTGCTGCAACAAGTAGGGCCTTAATTGCATCCTCAGCTTTCCAGATGTAGGTGTCCTTAGTCTTTAGAGGTCAGGAAGACTCCTCAGATAATTTTGGCTAACTAATCAGAGTGTATTCTTTCCTTTTTTCTTTGCATTAATCATCTTGCAAAATCATTCTTATAAACTCTCTTCTTTGATCAATATGTTACTCATTATCAAAGAATATCTTATTCTTGTGATAGCATGTTATTATTACCTCATAGTTCAGGTGTTTTTATTATTTTCTAACTGTAAATATTAGAATTATGTAAAGCCATTATAATGTCATATCTGGATGGAAGTCAGGGAGAGCGTGGCACTGAGGACTGAGTTTAAATTAATGTGACGGTGAGCCCTGGTTTGTCCAAGACTGTCCTGCTTAGGCTTCTTGTCCCAATGTGATTATAAACAGCATCTTTTTCACTCTTAAAAGCGTCCCAATTTGAATAAGTTACAATACTATGCAAGAGAAGTTCATGGGGATAATAGTCCCACCTAATATCTGCATAACACTTCACAGCTTTCTCTAGTGGTATCCAAGCTGAGAAGGGATGGAGATCTAAAAATATGGATTTGTGTTGTTTTTTTTTTAAATTACTCTTTATTTCATTGTTTTTCATTATTTTTATTATTGACACTATTACAGATGTCCCCTTTTACCCCCTTTGCTCACTTCTACCCAGCTTCCACTCCCCCTTCCTTCTGGCATCACCACATTGTTGTCTGTGTCCATGAGTTCTGCATATATATTTTTTGGCTAATACCTTCACCTTCTTTTATCATATGGCCCTTTCCCCTTTCCTTTGATAGCTGTCAGTTTGTACCATGTATCCATGTCTTTGTTTCTATTTTGTTCATCAGTTTATTTAGGTTACTGAGTTAATTAGACTCTACATATAAGTGAGATCACATGGTAATTGACCTGTCTCTAACTAGCTTATTTCACTTAGCATAATAATATCCAGACCCATGCTGTCACAAAAGGTAAGATTTCCCTCTATTTAAAGAATTATATTTTGTTGATTATGCTATTACAGTTGACCCAAGTCTTCTCCCTTAGCTCTCCCTCCACCCAGCACCCCCAACTCTCTCAGGCAATCCCCACACGGGAGCCATGGGTCATGCATATAAGTTCCTTGGCTACTCCATTTTCTATACTGTATTTTATATCCCCATGGCTATTCTGTAATTGCTAATTTGTAATTCTTAATCCCCTCACCACTTTACCCATTTCCCCACATCCACCATCCCATATGGCAACCATCAAAATCCTCTTGGTATCCATGATTCTGTCTCTGTTCTTCTTGTTTGCCTAGTTTGTTTTTTAGATTCAATTGTTGATAGATATATATGAAATCAGCTGACAGTCTTATGGGAACACCCCTGTAGGTAACTAACTTCTTTTCTCTTGCTACTTTTAAGATTCTTTCTTTATCTATAACCTTTAGCATTGTAATTATGATGTGTCTTGAAGTGGGCTTCTTTGCATCCATCTTGTTTGGGACTCTGTGCTTCCTGGACTTGCATGTCTTTTTCTTTCACCAAATCAGGGAAGTTTTCTTTCATTATTTTTTCAAATAGATTTCCAATTTCTTGTACTTTCTCTTCTCCTTCTGGTACCCCTATGATGCAAATGTTGGAATGCTTGAAGTTGTCCTAGCAGCTCCTTATACTGTCCTTGTTATTTTGGATTCTTTTTTCCTCTTGTTGTTCACATTGGTTGTTTTTTTCTTCCCTATGTTCCAAATCGTTGATTTGATTCTCAGCTTCTTTCACTCTACTGCTGTTTCCCTGTAAATTGCTCTTTATTTCAATTTTTGAATCCTTTGTTTCTGACTGGATCTTTTGTATGCCTTTGAGGTTATCACTATGTTCCTTGAGCATCCTTAAACCAGTGTTTTGAACTTTGCAACTGATTGTTTATTTCCACTTTGTTTAGTTCTTTTGCTGAAGTTTTGATCTATTCTTTCATTTGGGCCATGTTTTTTTTTTTTCTCCTCATTTTGGTAGCCTTCCTGTGTTTGTTTCTATGTATTAGGTAGAGCTGCTATGACTCCCTGTCTTGGTAGCAAGGCCTAATGTACTAGATATCCTGTAGAGTCCAGTGACACAGCCTCCTCTATCACCCAAAACCGGATACTTGAGGTGTGCCCTTCTTGTATGCTGAATCTTGTAGTTGAAGCTTAATTGATATTGGCAAGTCAATGGGAAGGAATTACTCAGTCCATTTAGCTGCAAGGTCTGGCTATGTCCACTGACCACCAACCTCTGCCCCCTGTGGAGGATCAGATGTTCAGGGGCGGGGTGGTGATGTTCCAATGTGGTCTATAGCTGTCCACTGCGTGCATAGGCTCTACAGTTTCCCAGGTCGAGCAGGCCAAGGTCTGCCTTAACAGGTGTTCTGCTTGGGACCACCCTGCATGAGCTATAAAGCAATCTGCAGATGGATGCTACTTGTGCTGGACTTGCACATTCCCAGGGAAAGCCAAACTGTGGTCCAAAACTAGCTGCTCCTAGTGCTGGGTCGGGGGTCATTTAGAAAGATGTATGGGGGTTGGGCACTCACTCAGGCTAGCAGTTGCTTCTTTCAGAAGATTTAGAAAGTTGTGAAGCAAGAGCCAAGACCAGCTATTCATATGGAACAGCCACTGTTAACAGCTTGGGTGGGTCTGGAAGTTGGGTGGGACAGAACCTCAGGGGATCTCCAGGGCAGGGAAAAAAGTATTAACCAGGTTGATGGAGTCTCAGATATGGCACTCACTTGTCATCTCTGTGGCTCTGTTCGGGGAGGGTTCAGAAAAGGGACAATGATCTCTGCCCACATTTTTGTTTGGGATAAAGCTGTCCCCC